AGAATGTTATTAGATACCTACATGGACTTAAGCGACGATATGCACAACATAAGAATAGTATTACAGATACCTACATGGACGTAAGCGACGATGTGAACAACAGAAGAATGTTATTACAGATACCTACATGGACGTAAGCGACGATGTGAACAACAGAAGAATGTTATTACAGATATCTACATAAACGTAAGCGACGATATGCTCAGCGTAAGAATGTTAATGTAGATACCTACATTGACATTGCCCTGAAAGGGGTCGGAACAACTGTGGTTTACTCCAATATAAACATTCGCCTACTCCTAAACCACAGGAGGAAGAGGTCTTATTGAACCTGACCCTCCCTGGTCTATCAAGACCAAAATCCAGATAACGAAGCAAACAGACATTATAATAGATAAACATGGCCGAGTTTCGATATTAAAAAAAAAGGTTTACAGATCATAAGTTTGACTATTGAATTCTGTAATGAGGACTGTACTATCCAAAGACATTCTTTGATAACAAGATATACTTAACAACATTCTATAGTAAAAATATTTACTCCTTGCGTTTTTATGATTTTTTTATATAAGTGTCAGTTTTAAAGAATTTTATCCAACCCTGATTTAACGCCGATTTGATCAGTTGCTTCACTCTCTGGACTTTATTGTGCATTGATAACAAAGTCTGTAACTCGGTCTTATTCACACTATATCACAGAATGTTTAAGTGGGGTTTTTCTTTTAGTTTCTAGAATAACAGAAACTTAATTTTAGAATAATTATTCAGAAACTAGAAACAAATTTAATATTCAGGGTATTATTACTTTTTTTGTTTTGCGTTTATGGTGGTATGGTCCCGATGTTCCCCAAGCGACAACAGTACTGTGTGAACGAATTACATCGCTAAGTGACATGAATTAAACACTAGACAGAATTGTTTTTTAAATTCACACAAGTTTTTATCGGTTAGCTGATGATGCCAATAGGATTGACCGTAACATTATAACGCCCCCCACGGCTGAAAGGGGGCCCGGCATGGCCAGGTGGTTAGGGCGCTCGACTCGTAATCTGCGGGTTCAACTCCCCGTCACATCAAACATGCTCGCCCTTTCAGCCGTGGGGGTATTATAATGTGACGGTCAATCCCACTATTCGTTGGTAAAAGAGTAGCCTAAGATTTGGCGGTGGGTGGTGATGACTAAGTGCCTTCCCTTTAGTCTTACACTGCTAAATTAGGGACGGCTAGCGCAGATAGCCCTCGTGTAGCTTTGCGCGAAATTCTAAAAATAAAACAAACACGGCTGAAAGGGCGAGCATGTTTGTTGGGACGGAGATTCGAACCCGCGACCCTCAGATTGCAATTCAAGCGTCCTAACCACTTGGCAATGGCCAGGTAAACCTGTTGAAATGTTGTGAATAAAAGTTTTACATACAACCGATAAAAACTTCTGTGAATTACACCGTTGTTGGACAACGCTATTAGTATTTAAAATAACAATGAAATTATACCATTACTCAATTATACACGAAAACACATTAGGCTTAATAAGAATATTAAAAGTCGCATTAAACTGTGACTCTTTCTTTTCCCATTCCTCTTGACACTGTAAGAAGAAAAAATTTTGGTCTTAATATTAATGATTACAATCACACTAGACTGTTGTCGGTTCTTTCTACGATTTCTACGTCTGAGGGCTTATAACGCTCAAAATTGTGGTTCGATACTCTCGGTGGGCACAGCACAGATAGCCCATTGTAACAAAGAAATGTAATTTTACAATAACGCGTTGAACACATTCAACTTGTTCTCAAGCAGTAGCTTTAGGAACTGAGCTCCCTACAGTCACCTGCCACCCAATTTATTCGATGGGGTGTAGGCGTAAAATTTTTCTCTGAATGGTTCTGATTATTTTCTAACTGTGTCTTTACAACGTCTACCATCACGGCAGTGATCCATGCGTTATAGCACGGTGTTGTAAACTCCGATATGAGATTGTAGCACTTAACCAGTAAGTTTCTAACCGTGGTTGGAAATCGTTATTTTCCGTGTATTGTTTTAATTTTGGTGACTGAGAACAAATTACGAAAAGTTGATCATTATTGTGTTATCATATTGTTATCGTGATGTAAATAATAATAAAGAAACATCCCTTTAGTTGTGAAACTTTGTTTTTTTTTTGTCATCGGATTTAGTTTGAATGTAGAAAAAAAATAGTTTGAAAACAAATAGTCAATCAATCAAATATACATATATTATCAAAATCCAAACTTGTTTTGTGTCTAAGGAAAGGATCACGGAAAGTTAAAAAAAAAAAAAAGTCCTGAGCAGTAGTAATATTTTATGGTGACTGTTTTAAAATTTCGGAGTGTAAATTGAGTTTGAGTGTGCTTAGGATTTCATATAACACGCCCTCTGCATACGTACGATGTTTAATGTTTAACCATTGGCAGGAATTGCGTCCACCCCCCTTACCTTCTTCATCTGTATATATATATATGAATATAGAAATCCAGTTGAGATTAAATAGACATGTTACTATGATGACCGAAACAATACGGGCAACAATGTGTACGGGCTTTAATACTGAGTGAGTAGTATTACTTAGTATTGATTCATGACGTTACTCCATCTGCAATCCGGATTGGTCGAACAGAATGAAAATGTATTAAAATTTTCAAGCACGTGATGGTCGCCGGATGATAAAATGATGGAGAAAAATACTATTGGCGCGAGGATTGGGGCATGTAGCTTTTACAGTTTGCACGTGTTTGAGTTAATATAAATATATCTTCCTGCGTGATTATTCATGTATCTTCAGAATCAGTTTCTTTTAAGACTTTTACCGAGGACAAAAGGCTATTAGATACTGAAGTTACGAACGGCTAACTGAAAATCACATTATCAACTTGTATTCGTTACTTAACGGGAACTCATTACCGAGAGATGAAGCTACCAGAGAGTAATAGCCTGTAGCGATCTAGGTTGTAATCAGGCCATTGTGATGGAAATTCTTGTGCAACTTTAAGGTTTCATTGCACCGTTGCGTTCGGATCATCTGGTATGCAACGGAAGATTATCTTTTGTGTTCACCGTCGATCGAGGCTTTAATATTTTGTAGTTATTAATCTTCAGTGGTTCAGAACATCATTTTCTTTAGATATTGCTGTAATAAATATTGTGCATGGCTGTAACTCGACTCTACGTTATCTTGTTCGTATGCCATTTCACCGGCTTGGGCTGTGGTGGTCGGCCTAAAACACGCGAGACCTGGCAGGATAGAATGTCCGACGGCGGTGGAGAATGTTGCGGCCGTTTTCGCCATCACAAGAGTAGGTTTTTAAGTATATATTGAATAAGAGCGATTTGAGCTCAGAATTGTTATATCTAGACGTTTATAATTGCCTATTTTGCCTCTAAGATATATATACTGAACTTGAAGCTGTTAAAAAAATATATTCGTGAGCCAACTATTAGGAGCGACTAGTTATCGATAATGTAGTGTCCTTCAAACTGAAGCAATCTCGAAATTAAAGGTTGACACACTGCCACTGGATATTTGCATATATATACATACATAATTATATTACTCTCACATATTGATTTTCCCCAAACGATCTATTTCTTATATAATCTGTTAAGGGTGCAAGAAGCATGAAGAAATTTTTTACATTTTCAAACACAGACTTTAATGTGAAACTTTACATGAGGAACTGTATGTTCTTATGGTAAGGAGGTTAAATTTTGAAACATAGACTTTAATGTGAAACTTTACACAAGGAATTATATGGTCTTCTGGTAAGGAGGTTAAATTTTGAAACAGACTTTAATGTGAAACTTTACATGAGGAACTGTATGGTCTTCTGGTAAGGAGGTTAAATTTTGAAACATAGACTTTAATGGGAAACTTTTCAAGAGGAACTGTATGTGTTTTTTCTTTTTTTTTGGTAAGGAGGGGAGTGATGAAAAAATAGATTCAAGTTGTCTAAACGGCATTCAATGAATTTTATGAAACTATATTTGAAGTTCAGATTTGGAAATGACGACACTTTGATAGTGTGCCTTGAGAACGCTTACAAGAGGAAAATAAAGCTGTTAACTTTTTTTGGGGGGTGTACATCTTCATACCTCAAGCTTAGCAGTACGATGCTGTTATGTATGTGAGCATCTACATCATTAATTGCGAAGAACGTGTGGTAAAAGTTAGACGTAGTAGTAGTAATTAAAAAAGACAAAAAACATTGACTAGTTTAGTCAAGATAGGAGAGGTATATAACAATAAAAATATTTCAACGTAGAGAAAAGTCCGTTGATAATTCTACATAAGCATCTTGGTGTGTTTATCATCCATGTAAATTTTCTTGTGTTTTATCATTCACTCCTATTTCAAAAAAATAAATAGTCGACTGGTTGTTGTCGCTACCGTATTATTTTCTAACGACTGCCCTATCGCCAGACTGTTGAAAAACTTCCGAACGTGTGTGGGCCCATGAATGATTCATTAAACGTGTAATGACGAACGTTTTCGAATATCTAGTCTGACTTGCGCGACAGCGACTTCTTCACTATTTAGCAAAAAAAAATGTTTTTAAGTGTTCTAAATGCCCAATATCTGTTATAGTTAATCGTTCCTTTCTTTAAACTTCTAGGCGTATAATCACGTGTATATATGTGTTAGGCAAGTAGATATCGTACCTCAATAAAACCGTGTTTGATATAAAACATTTCTGTAGTGGTAAAACTTCAAATAAGTTCTTTTATATAACATGTAATAAAATTAAACGATTTCTCATCGGTACTGGTATTAGGGAACTTAATTTTACTTTATACTTGTCAAAACAAACCAATCCACCTGCATGAGACCGTGATTACATGCAGCTTTACATTGGGGACCGTACTCTTATTTGCTATGTTTAATAATAATAATAATAAATTCAGTCGTGGAGAGTGTAACTGATAATGATAATGTTGAAGCACCCAGATCTATGTATTAAATTGTTGTTCGTTTTATCTGTTTCCAGAACACTTTAAGGAATTCAGTTGTGGGGAACTGTACTATGAAACTTTCTACCTGGACCCCAAAAGAGATATCTTGTACGTTGGAGCAATGTAAGTAAACTATTTCATTATCAGTGTTAATAACCATTTCATTATCAGTGTTAATAAACATTTCATTATCAGTGTTAATAAACATTTCATTATCAGTGTTAATAACCATTTCATTATCAGTGTTAATAAACATTTCATTATCAGTGTTAATAACCATTTCATTAT